AACCTGTCAGTTTTCTCGGTTAGTAGGTTCAATTGTTACTTTATTTTCTTCCTCGTACATTTCTGAGTCTTGCTTACCTAATATTTTATTTTAAGCAGTACAGGGTACTGATTGAATGACGAGATGACGAGTTAGGCCCGATACACACTATAGTGCCGGTCACTGTTCGCTCTCGGTCCGATATCCGTCTGGTAAAATATTTTTATACAAATGTATTCACTCTATCAGTAAGAATTAAGTTCCAGTACGGTCACACTCCAGCAACGTTTTTTATATAAAAAACTTTACCACACCGATATCGGATGAAAGGACTGTGGTCGGCACTATAGTGTGGATCGACCATAATAGGGGTGAGTGAAAGAGGAAGACTTACTGCGCCATCTCCAAGTAATTTGGGAAATGGACAGTGAGGTGATGATACTGATTACATTAAAACTATATTTTTAATCTAGTTAATTACTCATAATATTTTTTAGGTTTTTGCTGAGATTTGTTACCAACATTTTAATATATCCTGTGCGTATACATTTCCCAGCTATAAAGCAATGAAAACATTAACTTCCTACAGTAATTTACATCTTCCTTCAAACGTCTACCGTGTGAATTAAGTTAGCACGTGTCAAGGTGTGCCTTTACTCGTGATTAATTCAGCGTTTACCGCGTGTCTACAATATTGCTTACAAAGTTATTGCAATATAAGAGTGTGAAACTAAAAAAAAATTTTATTACTAGAAAATAGTAATATTTAATTATTATAATAGCAAAATCAATAGAAAAATAAATTATCATAATAGCTCTAATAGTATTTATAACAAAAAGTTAGTGGAAGGTAAAATAACTTGTTAAATAGGTAAAATTTCAACCTGAATTTTGAAAATTAAAATTATTCATTAAGATTAATAGATAACACTACTGTATTGGTAAATTCGCCTTTTATAATTTTTTTTCATATTTTATGCAATTATGCAATAAAGTTAACAACTTTCAGATAAGTAGAGTAAAAGCCGACTCTACCGACATAAAAACAAGAGTTTTATATTCAAGGGTTAATAAAACTTTTAGAACCTTACAACGACTATATCATTGAGCTATACGTGTTTTACCTTTATATAATGTCATATCTTTTATTACCTCGACTTCGCAATACCTACTTGGTAACGTCACTAGTGGAACAGCCTTGTTATAATAAAAACATTTTATAATGACCATATCACCTATATATGTTATGTGTTATTATTTTTATTATCACTTATGTTATCATATTTAGATACATACATATCACATATGTTATCATATTTAGATATAGGTAAGTACTACACAACATAAGGTACCACTTTACATGAATCTACCAATTTCTATTATATATGTACCTAAGATTAAAAAAGTTACATTATGACATATTATACAGTGACAATATATAAAATTTTGACTATATACTAAAACTAACGACTCAGTCTTGTTCCGCTCGGGTTCGCCCCTAGTTACGTTTTAACGTTTAGTATAGTTTTCTCAGAGATGAGATATTTTCCCGTAAAAAGTCCTATATGTTGACCCGGATAACCAGCTATCATCATGCCAAATTTCATCAAATTCTGTTCAGTGGTTTTCTCGTGATGCGGTCACAAACAGACAGACAAAAATTCTAAAAACTATAGATTCAGACTGTGTATCAATAATAATGACTATATCAATAAGATTTTCCAAAAAATATTTAATGTTAATTCGACTCACAATTTATTATAAGTATAAATTTCGTAAAATACTTTTCATCATTAGTTAATTATAACACTAACAACTATTAAAATATAAAAATAAAATAATTAATAACCAGTTCGATATTCATCTCAGACAGAAACAAAAATTATGCATCGTCTATTAAAACATAAAAGGGAAATCCGCTACCATTAATCGTTAAAACTAATGACCTTATTTGTTAAGATAAATATCATAAAAATGTTCTAAAATGTCTATAAACTAGCATTGTCCGCGGCACCGCCCGCGTTCAGATGACCAAAAACCAAATTCTTAGGTTTTACATGTTAGTATACTCTTACAATGCAGTTTGTATTTTTTCTCAGAAATTATATATTTTCCCGCGGTAAAAAGTATTCTATATGTTGACCCGGATGACCAGCTATCATCATACCAAATTTCATCAAAATCTGTCCAGTGGTTTTCTCGTGATGCGGTAACAGACAGACAGACAAAAATTCTAAAAACTATAGATTCGGACTCTGCATCGATAATAAGGTCTATTTCAATTAGATTTTCCAAAAAATATGTAATGTACAGATTCGTCTTAGTTACAATTTTATTATATGTATTGATATGTCAATGGTATCATTTTCAAAGGAAGTTAATCTAATTGTCTTGCGAACTAAAGCGATATTGACCTTATACTAACCGGTTCGGAGACCCCCGCCATAAGATAGAGCAAATTAACATTAGAATATTATGCCCAAGTTGATCGTGTTTGATAAAATTATAATATTAAACTGAGACGTATTATATTTTAATATAACTTTTTTAATTTAAAGCCATTGTTTGGTTTTGAACATATGGAACCTATTATCGTATCTATTTATTGACAATTAATATGTATATTTATAATAATATGAGTTAAACTAGTAGATATTTTTTATAAAAAAAAAGAAAAAATATTCTAATGTAAAGTTAGTGAAAAATTAAATAAAATTAAAAATGGTGCAGTTACAGTTCACGATGCGTGAAATTGTTTCGTGTCTCATATCATTTGTCATCGTACATAAATGAATTTTGAGGGGTCGATAATATCTACATTCATAAAGATTACTAAAAATGGTTATTAAATCGCCGAACGTAGGTACCACATACTTTAGTAAATATTTAACCTTGTCACTATATATAAGTTATACGTGCAACGTAGAGATATTAAAACAAAAATTTACAGGATCCGATTGAATTATTAATTTTTTTTTTGAAATTATGCTTATTTAAAGGTCCAAACTCATATACATCTGTATAAATATTATAAATGTGAAAGTTTGTGAGTATGTATGGATGTTTGTTACTCTTTCATGCCAGAATGGCTGAACGGATCTGGATGAAATTTGGCCCAGAGATAGATTATAGTCTGGAATAACACAAAGGCTACTTTTTATCCCGGAAAAATATACGTTTTCCGAGGGATAGATTTGTTTTTGTTTGTCTAAAGGCGAACCCGAGGGAAGCGAGAGTGAGCCGCTAGTTATACATATTTACTAAACTCTGAATTTATCATCTACTCTATAGTTACGTATGGAGGAAAGAATAAAAATTCAACACGTTTTGCACATAAATCAATGTCGGCAGTAGGTACAAAAAAGTAACAAGTTACTTTTTTATAGATCAAGTTTCGTATCGAAACAACAAAGTTGGCAAGAAATAATATTCGGTACTGAAAATGAAATTATGCGAGATAGCATTCACGTTTTTAGTATAGTTATTTGAAACAAGTTTTTGCCAGTAGCTCCGCTTGCGTGGATGCCATATTACTAAAATCAGCCTATATTTTAACCAGGATCTATGTAGATCTGAGGCTTTCGCTTATCCGTATTTCATTCAAATCTGCAACATAAAGACTTACAAACTCACGCGTTATTCAGTTAAGATTATGATTTATTGTAATTATATTATAGTATAATTGAACATATTATCTTAAACTCGACTTTTATGTAAAAAAAAGAACCGTCAGCCTGTGATTTGAAGAGAGTTACCCATAGGGCTATTTGCAAAGTACTAAACATCTAAACATTAAACTTTGTTTTATAATTCTACTAGTACTAGTATAATTAAGCCTCGAAACAATCAAATCGGCAAACACTAGGTTATTAAAAATATATATAATAATATATAATATTTGCCCCTTTTACATGAATAAGTTAATTCATTGTCTCGGGACAAAGAGATGGTTTGTAAGTTGAGCTTAGACCTTGCGGTTGAGATGCAGTTGAAGGTTGCTTAAAGTGTAGGGTAAGGCAACTGATTGTTTTATTATATTCGTACAACTGCATTACTTTGTTTTGTAATTTTATTATTATAGTCTTTTACAATTATGATTTTAAATAATGCATTTAAATAAGTTAAAATAATCTTGTTAATGTTACATTTAGGATTTTATAAAATAATATAATGTTGATAGAACCTTTTTTTCTCATAGATACTCATTGAAGTTTGTTTGTTATAATTTTTAAATGAAAACCTATATTTATTACTAGCATTGCCCGCGGTTTCGCCCGCGTTCAGATGAACAAAAACCAAATTCTTAGGGTTTACATATTAGTATACTCTTACATTGCAGTTTTTGTATTTTTTCTCAGAAATGAGATATTTTCCCGCGATACAAAGTATTCTATATGTTGACCCGGATGACCAGCTATCACCATACCAAATTTCATCAAAATCCCTCCAGCGGTTTTCCCGTGATGCGGTAACAGACAGACAGACAGACAGACAAAAATTCTAAAAATTAGGATCGGCCTCTGTATCGATAATAATGTTTATTTCAATAAGATTTTCCAAAAAATATCTAATGTACAGATTCGGCTTAGTTACAACTTTATTATATGTATAGATTATGATGTATAACTGGATATTTTCTATGTTACCGATATTCGGCACTCTTGCGAGCGCTATGGTTACGGGTATACTAGTATAACCGAAATATCGGGATCACTCAAAAGTAAGTGCTAAACATGGTAAATATCCCGCTTTACATCATAGTAGTATTGTCAGTATACTATAAAAGTTTAAAGACTTTTACTTTTCTCAGCTAACACTAAATATTTTTTATATATCTGCCTGTAAATTAAGAATTTCTCTGTCTAAATTGAAAAACTTTCAAGCTCTACTTCAGTCTCAACCTCTACTTAAGTTGAGCGAATGAGCGAAGCAGCAGGTAGCAGTTATATTAAATATCATCCTTGGTATTAGTACTCTATGTATATTTAATATAGTATATTAAATGATATTTAAACACTTACACACTTAACAGCTGTGTTAAAATCCTTGCTCTGCTTGATGACGTAGGGACACTAAAAAGAAAAAAATATTATTAGTTTCTTGTTTCCTTGTATATTATTTTTGTGTAAATACTTATATGAAATAAAAATTGCCAATAATGAATTATAACCATATTAACAATAATATTAATTATTAGGTACCAAAAAGTCAAGTTATAAAAATTAAGTAGGTACATCAACACAAAGATGCGAAGTTTTTCAAAAATAAACTATTTATTATTGTCAACAAACAGAGACGATGTTGTTAATTAGCAGCTTTGTTCAATGTTCAAAAAAGACTGGAAGGAAAACGAAATAAAAATACTAAAATCGCAATGAAACGGTACCGAGAAACAAGTCTTTTGCCGGACTTTAGGGTCCTTCCACACTACCATATGAATTTAAAAAAATATATGAATAAATTTTGCTCGTAGCTAGACTGTTACTTGGAAACGTATGAAATTAAATAAATGTTATGAGTTCGGAATCAAATTAAACTCAAAATCAAGCAAGCAAAACGGGTTATTTGCACTAGTCCACTGTATATCAGTGTGATATGTGCCTTATGAGCAGCTGCCTAAAAACAAGTTTGGCGATCTGGAAAGGCGATTGACGCTGACATAATATGGCCTTCAGTGCAACGATGAACAATAAACGTAGCAAGGATTTCTTAACAATTATTATAAAGAACCTTTCGTTTTGTGTAATTCAGGCAGGTTTTAAACACGATACTGCTACATTTACAATAGCTAAACAAATAAATGTTGTTACATTTTTGTCCTTATAAACATGATTTGTACATAATACATATTACAAATTACAAATAAGTTACAAGGTATCACAAACTATTGTAATTATTCGAATATTTTCTAGCGACATAAATAAAATCTATCTATACATATGATAAAACTGTAACTAAGCCGAATCTGTACATTAAATATTTTTTGGAAAATCTTATTGAAATAAACATTTTTATCGATACAGAGTACGAATCTATAGTTTTTAGAATTTTTGTCTGTCTGTCTGTTACAGCATCACGGAAAAACCACTGGAGGGATTTTGATGAAATTTGGTATGGTGATAGCTGGTTACCCGGGTCAACATATAGGATACTTTTTACTGCGGGAAAGTATCTCGGAGAAATCTACACTAAACGTTAAAACGTAACGTAGGAACGAACCCGAGTGGAGCGAGAGTGAGTTGCTAGTAGTGATATATATATATATATATTTATGTGTGTGTGTGTGTGTGTGTGTGTGTGTGTGTGTGTGTGTGTGTGTGTGTGTGTAAAATGTGAAAATGTATAGATATACTAACAATTATAGCTTCCAACGTTTTAATCTGGTAATGTTGTAATTGGGTTAAAATTCTGAGTCTCTTATCGTTGGCTCCTGAAGCCTCAAAGTAGGTTTCATCTTTCTAATTGAGCCTCCATCATGACGAACATTAGTTTGATTCTGTTCTAATTATAATTTTTTTGTTTTCATTCAAAAGTGAGTCAATTGTATGACTACGATGCTCTCGTAAAATACTAGATAACATCTTAATCTAAGGAAATTAATTTCAAAAAGAAAGTAAACAATATTATGTATATAATACGAATAACTTACTTATTATCGCTTACTTATAAAACGTTTTCATGTTTTCTTGTGTTAATTATTCAATATATTATTTAATTAGAATTTACAAGGCAATATTATTTAAAAAGGACTTAACAAATGGGTATTCTGTAAAACATTTAATAGTTTAAAATAGTTGTTTAATGTTTAATCTATACTAATATTATAAAGAGGTAAAGTTTGTGAGTTTGTGACGTTGTAGGGAGTAATCTCTGGATCTACTGAACCGATTTAGATGAAATTTGGTAAGAATATAGTTTGAGACCCTGGGAAGGACATAGGGTACTTTTTATCCCAGAAATCATCCCATAAGGAAAATGATGGAAAATGGGGATGAAAGTTAGTATTGGGAAGCAAGCTAGGGACGAACCCGAGCGAAGGGAGGGTGAGTCGCTAGTCTTAAGTAAATTGCTTTAATTATAATAAAAGTATCAGTTGATAAATTAAAATATAAAATCGACAATAGGTCATGTACCTAAGATTTTTATACCTATTAAGATTTTTTGTAATTCAAGAATAACTAGTTTACCACTTAAGAAGTACCTACTGCATAAGCGCCAGCACTTAAGAAAATACTTACCTGTTATATTTGACGACTTTGCTGGCGCCGACCCCAAAAAATGTGTGGGCCCTTAATTAATTTGTTTAGTACACTATTGATTTTGTTCTTGTTGTTAATATATGTAGTATAGATAGGATAGAAATATTATTTCATAATTTTACGTTATTATTTTTAAGACTTTTTTTTTTAATTCTTTATTTTTCATAATTTATTTCTATACCCTTGCAGCATCTGTACTAATATTATAAATGTAAAAGTGTGTTTGTTTGTTTGTTCTTCTTTCACGTCGAAACGGATCGACGGATTGGTGTGATTTTTTGTGCGGAGATAGTTGGATTGCTGGAGAATGACATAGGCAAAGTTTTATTGCGAGAGATTTTCTCATTCAAACGGGAAAACACGTTATAATACAACCCAAAAAAAAATCTATGATCAGAATTACTTGAAACTTGGTATTAATGCTCTTCTTAAATAAATATGTGTTTTAGTATTTTTCGAAATTTATTCCATAAGGGGGTAATTTAGAGGATGAGTTTTAGCGCGAGCGAAGCCGCGGGTTCTGCTAGTATTTCTATATATTTGACTGGTTAGTAACATGTTATCAGTCCTATAAATTATCTCATTATACTGTGTTACTGTTGTGTTATTGTTGTGATTGCACAATTAAATTCATAATAAAGAATTAATATACCTCTCCTTTTAAGTACATTGCCAGAACTTTCCATTCGTTAAAACTTTTTAACTTTATTTATAGGTTGAATTAAATACGAGTTAAATATGTTCAATAACTTCGAAGTTTTATTGGATATAAAAAGTTTCAAACCCGTTTTGCAAATCATGACTCGTTTGCAATATTGTTTTGAACAGTGTGAGTATTAACGGAACTTTAAGAACTCTTCTTTTAGTCTTAGACTCAAACATTTGTAGATGTTATAAGGATAATTATAATTAATTTAAGCTTAAATATATACATATATATATATATATATATATATATATATATATATATATATATATATATATATATATATATAACAAAAATAAAAATGATCGGAATATGTACATATGTAATTGGGACTTATAACAGGAAACAATAAAATTAGAAGTTCAAAATAAAAATGCTTTACTAAAATTAGCTTCTTGAATGACAATTTATAGATCCGCTTTATAAAAGCTATGTTCTACAAATGCCAAAAACAACGAAATCCGTGAGGAATGAACATTTTTGCCTGCTGTGTTGCGAATACGTAATACGATAGCTTTATATGTACTTAGCTCTTACCACGTTTATTTTGATTACTGCAGAAAGTCCATTTGCAGAATAATTATTTAATTTTAAATATTATTTATTGGATTTCTCATTTCAGTACTACCTTATTTCATACTTGGATTATACTTTTTACTTTTTATAACTAAAACGCGGTGGTGCCAAGCGCCACCCACCCGACGGCCGACACGTATTGCCTATAAAATCAGCGGAAAGTGCAGATGAAATATATTGTAGTACATAAGTAGGTATACTTCTGTATTGACTATGAATTCTTAGGGGCTTCCCTATTATGCGCTTAACAAACAAGTGCATCAATGATTTTATTGATTGTTTATTTATATTTTTTATATAATAAGTAAATACTATTTTTATGTTTTATTTATGTTTTAAAAGGCTCTTGTGACTATCTACAGTAACAAGTCGTAGAAAATTTCAATAAAATAAATAAGTTTAATGTGTAGCAAAGTTGATCTGTTCTTTCAGGTATAATTTCGATATACAAGTGAAAGGCGCCAAGGCCGGGTAACAATGGTTGTAATACCACCAGCCAACGGAAGACACTTCCATTCATAATAGGGGCCTTCTAGAATAGTAATTGGCGCCATTTATTATCTACTGTCAGTTAGCAAGATTAATGTCGCTTCCACACATTCATGGCAAAGGTGTGATCTTTTTAATGCTAAAATGTCTAAAAGGACGAATTTAGAAATGTCAAAATTTTGTATTTGATTAATCATCTGTGGTTAATTATTATAGTCGCAGTTGACAATACCATACTAGTCTCTCTAGACTCTACCTACAATGCACAACATCTTGAATGGAATAATACGAAATTAAACAAAAAAGTACACTATAATAAACAATTTTCTAATAGACTTAAACATTTTGAAACAAATACTGTTGAACATTTGTATGTATAATTAACATGGCGATATACAACCGGCTCCAATGTTGGAATTATAAACAGGTTTGTTATTGTCATAACATAAGTTTTCCAGCCTACGGTTTTAGTCTAAAAATAGACTCATGATTTTTTTAGATATATGTATATAAAAAATAGATTTGAAATCAGATCAGAAAAATTTTAAAATATATTATTATAAAAAAACATATTAATTATTAACCTTTCAATAGGTAATCCAGATATCCTGTAGCCATATTTTTAAATAAATGTCATATTTTACTTAGTCTTATAGACTCAGTAACAGAATCTGTATTTTTAAATAAAAATAATAATCAAGCAAAAGTGACCAGTTTTTTCATGAAAGATATAAATACATTTTTGCCTTTATTATTTTAAGCGTGAAGGAAATATATTTCTTCTATTTTACCGAAAAATTGAAACCAAGGTTTTTAGTTTGAGGATAATGAATTTAATTGGACTATAAAGCTAGAAGTTCGCTACAACTTTTACAAAGCTGCAGGTAAGTAGTCAAAACTTCTGATAGAGTTTTCATTAATAACTTAGGTCGATAAAAGAGGTCTTTGCTCTGGACAATGAACTTTAGTGGCCCCGTTTCGTATATATATAATATTCAGGATATCTCGAATAAAAGACCTAGTTAGTGAAGCCTTGTATGCT